ATATATATACATATATATATTTAGTTTAATGGATATGAGTTTGTGACCCTGGGTTTCATACTTATGTGATTCATTCAACTAAATATGTTAGCTCTATCACTGATATTGAGTGCTTTCCAACAAGCACATATAAAAAATATATATAGAATTTTATATATATATATATATATATATATATATATATATATATATATATGATGGTAGATGGTGCTGCGTTGCCATGTAGACTAGGTTACATTTGTCATTCATGTACATTTATAGCTAGTCTGTCTTTAATATATGCATTAGTATGTTAACTGAGAAGTGTTCCATTTAACAAGGGCATGATATTCACATTTTTACGTACGATCGTTTGAATGGTAATGGACATGAGGCTACACAGCTGTATCAGATTGCATTTCCAAACTGAAGGCAGTTGAGTCATCCAAACTTTGCTGCTGTTTATTGCTGAGACAGGATCCATGGCACCTCAAACTATGGATCAAGGAAGACCGAGATCCATTTGCATGTCTGGACACAGTGCCATCTACCGTAAGCTTACTTTAAACATAACTCAAAAATGAAGGATTTGTAGGCATATGTTTATATGAACTTTTGTCTTTGTTTTCGTGTGAGAAACTCACCCCTGAAGTTTGTAAAATTATTTTGATACACACACACACAGACTCTCTCTCTCTCTCTCTCTCTCTCTCTATATATATATATATATATATATATTATAAATTAATTGATTTAAAATATGTTTTTTTTCGCTACACAGTTCCAACCATGTTTCAAAAATAGAAGCTAAAAACCCTGAATTTAATTTTGCAATTAAATTAAAAGCATTAGTTCCATTTCATCTGTTCTTTCTTTTTATTTATATATATATATATATATATATATATAATAAATTAACTGGTTTAAAATATGGTTTTTTCCCTACACAGTAATAACCATGTTTCAAAAATGGAAGCTAAAGACTTCAAATTTAATTTTGTAATTAAATTAAAAACATTAGTTTCATTTCATATTCAAGCAAATATTGGAGTAACTTATTTTTTGAATTTACTGAGTTTTAAACACACACAAAAATTCATAATTCACTGTTTCCAAGGATACAGAGAGATCCAATCATTCAGACAAGGGGTGGTAGCGTGTTCATTTTTATAAACTTTTGTTGTATCAGTTATTAGTTATATATAAACAGGCATAAGTTTAAACTGATACCAGAATGATATGGATCAAACAGAAGAGCAGTAGAATTGTTTCACAGAATCATTATTGATGTCTGAAATGTTTCCTCTCTTGTTAAAGAAACATTCTATGAAGCCATCCATACTGTGAAATTCTCAAATATGGCCAACCAAGGCTAGAGAATCCAGTTTGTGGTGCAATTAACCCCTAGTTGGGGATGTGGAGAAGTGGTGGATTTATACTTTTTCCAAAGATATTTGTGCAAATGTGAGCACAACAAATCCAAAGAGAATTTGAAATCAGCGTGCTGGTAACCACTGCACTATGCGCACATCCTGACTGAAGGAATTATGTAACAGGATTTGAAAAACATGCAAACAAATGAATAACCTTTTTTTGAATGCTTTCCCCTCCCCACAAATGTTTAGAGCAGTTTCCAAATAAATTTGGTAAATTCCGATACAGAAAGTTTACCTTCTTTGTCTTTGCTGAATGTTTCTGATACTAATATATCTTTGAGGTTTTCTTTTCCTGACATTCGTCTTTAATTCACACCACAAATTTTCAACTGGATTTCACTCGGTTGATTTGTGAACATCACAGACAGACATTGCTCTTTCCCTTTTCTATTCATTCAGTCGCCATCTTTAATTGATGTTTGGAATAATTCTGTCTTTTTAGAATATTCTTTCAATTCACACTGTTGTAACCTAGAAAAGGTTACTGAATGAGGAATAACTAAAACAGAGGTTGGAAATGAAAAGGTAATCTTTATAACATCAACAAAATACAATACTCGCCAGCGCCGTGAAGTAGGTAAACCACTGCTAGTCGTAGACTACTTAGATAGCATATTACCCTTCACTTACAATAGTGCCCAACGTATTTATGAAGATTGGGACGTACCCATTAGGGTTCATAGGTACAGTCTATAATAGAAAGAAAGAGAGATGATAAAAGAAAAAAAGAAAGGAAGTGTTGTAACCTAGAAAATGTTTACTGAATGAAGAATAACCAAAACGGAGACTGGAAGTGAATTGGTAATCTTTATAACATCAACAAAATACAATACTCGCCAGTGGCATGAAATAGGTAAACCACTGCTAATGGTGGACTACTTAAACAGCATATTACCCCCACTTGCATTAGTGTCCAACATATTTATGAGAATTGGAATATATTCATTAGTGTTCATAGGTATGGTATATAACCATAGTAAAAAAATCATTTGCAATGTATTTTTATACTAAAAATCATTTGCCATGCATTTTTATACTAAAAATCATTTGCTATGCATTTTCATAGTAAAAATCATTTGCAATGCATTTTCACAGTAAAAATCATTTGCAATGCATTTTCATAGTAAAAATCATTTGCAATGCATTTTCATAGTAAAAATCATTTGCAATGCATTTTCATAGTAAAAATCATTTGCTATGCATTTTCATAGTAAAAATCATTTGCTATGCATTTTCATAGTAAAAATCATTTGCAATGCATTTTTATAGTAAAAATCATTTGCAATGCATTTTCATAGTAAAAATCATTTGCAATGCATTTTCACAGTAAAAATCATTTGCAATGCATTTTCATAGTAAAAATCATTTGCTATGCATTTTTATAGTAAAAATCACTTGCAATGCATTTTTATAGTAAAAATCATTTGCAATGCATTTTTATAGTAAAAATCATTTGCAATGCATTTTTATAGTAAAAATCATTTGTCATGCATTTTCATAGTAAAAATCATTGGCAATGCATTTTTATAGTAAAAATCATTTGCAATGCATTTTTATAGTAAAAATCATTTGTCATGCATTTTCATAGTAAAAATCATTGGCAATGCATTTTTATAGTAAAAATCATTTGCTATGCATTTTTATAGTAAAAATCATTTGTCATGCATTTTCATAGTAAAAATCATTTGCAATGCATTTTATAGTAAAATCATTTGCAATGCATTTTTATAGTAAAAATCATTTGTAATGCACATTTTCATAGTAAAAATCATTGGCAATGCATTTTTTATAGTAAAAATCATTGCAATGCATTTTATAGTAAAATCATTTGTCATGCATTTTATAGTAAAAATCATTGGCAATGCATTTTTATAGTAAAAATCATTTGCTATGCATTTTTATAGTAAAAATCATTTGTCATGCATTTTATTGTAAAAATCATTGGCAATGCATTTTTATAGTAAAATCATTTGCAATGCATTTTTATAGTAAAAATCATTTGTCATGCATTTTCATAGTAAAAATCATTTGCAATGCATTTTATAGTAAAATCAAAATCATTTTTATGTAAAAATCATTTGTCATGCATTTTCATAGTAAAAAAAATGCATTTTTGTAAAAATCATTTGCAATGCATTTTTATAGTAAAAATCATTTGTCATGCATTTTCATAGTAAAAATCATTGGCAATGCATTTTTATAGTAAAAATCATTTGCAATGCATTTTTATAGTAAAAATCATTTGTCATGCATTTTCATAGTAAAAATCATTGGCAATGCATTTTTATAGTAAAAATCATTTGCAATGCATTTTTTTATAGTAAAAAAATGCATTTTCATAGTAAAAATCATTTGCAATGCATTTTTATAGTAAAAATCATTTGCAATGCATTTTTTTTTATAGTAAAAAATCATTTGTCATGCATTTTCATAGTAAAAATCATTTGCAATGCATTTTTATAGTAAAAATCATTTGCAATGCATTTTTATAGTAAAAATCAAATGCATTTTCATAGTAAAATCATTGGCAATGCATTTTTATAGTAAAAATCATTTGCAATGCATTTTTATAGTAAAAATCATTTGTCATGCATTTTCATAGTAAAAATCATTGGCAATGCATTTTTATAGTAAAATCATTTGCTATGCATTTTATAGTAAAAATCATTTGTCATGCATTTTCATAGAAAAAAATCATTTGCAATGCATTTTTATAGTAAAAATCATTTGCAATGCATTTTTATAGTAAAAATCATTTGTCATGCATTTTCATAGTAAAAATCATTGGCAATGCATTTTTTTATAGTAAAAATCATTTTGTCATGCATTTTCATAGTAAAAAAAAAAATTGGCAATGCATTTTTTAAAAGTAAAAATCATTTGCAATGAATTTTCATAGTATAAAAATCATTTGCAATGCATTTTTATAGTAAAAATCATTTGCAATGCATTTTTATAGTAAAAATCATTTACAATGCATTTTTTATAGTTGTTGTAACCCAGGAAGGTTTACCGAATGAGGAATAACCAAAACGGAGGTTGGAAATGAAAATGGTAATCTTTATATCATCATCAAAATACAATACTCACCAGCAGTGTGAAGTAGGTAAACCACTGCTAGTGATGCACTACTTAGACAGTATATTACCCCCCCACTTCCAATAATGTCCAACATATTTATGACGATTGGGACATACCCATTAGTGTTCATGGGTACAGTATATAATACACACAAAAATTTCTGAGCCAAACTTTTCAAATTACCACTATGAATATCATTTTTTTTTCCATGGTTATTTTAATTGGTTAGTTGATTTTTTTTTTATGGCTTGTCAACCCTTTTGGAGGTTATTTAAAGTGATCAAAATATTTTTACATTTTAAGAATTTTTTTTTTTTTTCTTAGGTAATAATAGTTTAGGGATACAAGTTTTAGTAAGTAACCTATAGCTGGGAGGTGATGAGGTGGATTCATACCTTTTCCAAGGGTATTTACTTGTAAGTGAATATAATGAACTCTACTGGAATTGGAAATCAGTTCTCCAATTAACAACACGGAGCCATTATCCATTATACCATCTGCACATCCATGTTTTCCCAAGCGGTCACCCATTTAAGCACTGACCAGGTTCAGCATTGCTTAACTTGTGATCATATGGGAACGGGTGTTTCAATGTGACCAAAAGCCTGTGGTTACTTTGAGTCCTACAAGTTGACCAAATGTGTTTTACATTGAAGCCACAACTGTCATCGCTTAATCAAAGTTCCTCCATACTTTGCCATCAAGGATGATGTTCTTTAACAACTAATTTTTTTTTTTTTTTGTTTCCACTACATGTAGTAAGTCAGGTCACTGTACAAATGTTACATGTACCATGTAACCCAGTGCTACATGTCACATGGTTGTGTAAGTAAAAACCAGTTCCCCCATCAGGTTTTTCTGTTGAGGTGGGTGGCTAGACATCCAGCAAAAGTAAAAACAAAACTAGTCAAAGGGTGGATGAATCTTCTTGTAGGATCAACATCCATCTAATACAATGGGGTAGACTGGACACTATGTATACAGCAAGTGCAGGGATAACATAGAATCACTGGTTGGAGTCATACACCTGATGAAATCAATAACCACCTGAGACCAGGGCAAAACTTTGATTTCAAGGACATCGGGTGTGGTTTGATCTGGAGAGGGATTGGTGCCGCCAGGTCTTCTTTCTCCAAGACATGTTATGCATGAATAAATACCTCCTTCAGATTTCAACCTGAGCCATCTGGTCAGGTGCTCAGTGGCACAGCAGCCCTATGACCACACCTGATCATGGGACTGATTGCTCACTTGAGTGCCTGTAAAGTCCTAGCTATTTCATCTTATCATGCCACAAGACTTTATCTCTAAATGCTTTATCATTGTTTATAGGCTCCTCAGCAAAAAATATAATCTTGTTTTCAAGTGTATTGAACACAAGGTGTATTCTTGGTCTAGGACAGTGTTTCTCAATCTTTTCAACCATTGTACACCCAGGAGCAAATGAAACGGCACACTTAGCAACATTTTTAAAGGCTATACATTTTATGAAATAAAACCATAGATTTAAAAAAAAAAAAAAAAAAATAGACACCCAAATATAAATTTACTTTATTTCAATGTTTCTATTCAATTATTTGTGCAGCTTATTTTGGAGGAAATCTGTGCCTGGGGTTTTTCACGAATTCTTTAATGTTTGGGTGAATGTGCAATAAGTAGACCCTCATTCCTTCTTCAGTTAAGTGTAGTCTTTCTTGCTTCTTATTTTTGATGTTATTAAAGTTTGAGAAGCCTAATTCACATAAATAAGAAGTAGAAAATTGCAATAAGACTAATAAAGCCTTTTTAGCTAATATGGGATAAAAAGTTTAACACTTATTCATTTATTCAAATACTAACGCTGTACCATTACCACTTCCAAACACACACACACACACACACACACATATATATATATATATAATATAAAAGGCTCAAACACTAATATTCCATGGTTATAATTTATTACATTGGAATCATAATCACGATCCAATTCATCAGACCTACAAATTCAAAAAAGAAATCGGAAAATATAACTCCGGGTATAAAAAAAACAAAATTTCAGTGAGAGTGTATATGTGGGAGTGGGAAACAAGTGTGAGAGGGAAATGTATGAAAGCTTTAGAGAGAGGGTGTAATAGAAGAAAGAAGAACAGGAAAGGCCTAAAGGGGAAGGTGGGGATTAAAATTTAACAGAGAGAAGTTTTAAATATAGGCATTAAATAACAGTTTAAATGAGTGAGATACAGATAAATATGATGCATAAATTGCTATATATCAAGTATGTGGTGTAGTTCAATTTACATTACATGAATGTTTTTTGTATGAATGATTCATGTAATATATATATATATATATATATATATATAAGTATGCCGTGACAATATTTCATGGCACACTAGTGTGCCATGGCACAGTGGTTGAGAATCACTGGTCTAGGGCCTTATAGTCTCACTTATTGCAATATATTCCTTGCTGTGCAATGCATGATTTGAAATTATTATTCATATCTTCAAAAGAAGATCCCACTGGTAATATGGAAATCCTAATTATTCAGTGGTGAATGAATTATTATTTGTTTAGTTTAATATCCAGTAAGTTGTACTATAATAGTTTCTTCAATTATAATTCTCACCTGTGAAACTCTCTTCCAACTTTGTACTTTCCTGTCAACTAAAATCTACAAAAATTTAAGTGCAAAGTCTGTCACGATCTGCAATCTGCTTGAATCCTGTTGTTTTTATTGTCCTTTCTCCTCAGTAATGTTTTCTCAGTTTCCTCCTGTCTATTGCTCTTCTCAGTAAAAACCTTTTGGTGTTTGTGGGGTGAGATGATTAATAAAAGAAAATCTTGAACAGAAGCAAGAAAATGCAGTGACACAATTGTTATCTTGACTTCATTTTAGTTTAATATTCAAGAAGTCTTTAACACAAACAAGAAAATGCAAAGCAATATAAAGTTTTTCATTTTATATATTTATAGCATTGGGACAACGCAATAGCAACATTATTTAAATAATTCTGCCTATTTTGAACACATAGGTAAATTATAAATAAAAAAAAGTTTTTTGTTTTTTTTTTACAATGATGTTCACCTTGTATAAGCCCTACTTGAGGTAGAGTGTTACAGGGTAAACTTATAATGCCACCAAGATGCAAGTTGGCACCAGAAGTAAAAGACCAGGAAAAGACTAGAATGAACTGAAAACAAGACATAAACTTCTACTTCTGTTCAAAAGATTATTTAACTTTTGGCTGTCTCTAAAAAACAGTACAGCATTTCATTTTTATTAGGTTTGTGGTAGAAACTCAAATGTCATAATATTTCAAGTTAAATTAGTTTCTTTTTTTATATAAAGCGTTTTATTTATTTTTGGCAAGTTCAAAATCCTCACCTTTTAGAACTGGATTTATTGCCATGAGTAAACCATAATTAATTAGTAATGATTATTTTGTAATTAGTTCTAATTGCAGATGGTATTAATCTCCTACCACTTACTAAGAAATTTAATTAGCATGACTGGCGTCTAACAAGACTTCAAATATTGCAATATGTTTCTTTTATTTAATTTCTATTTTATTGATTAGTTTTCAAGGAGCTGTATTAGGGGAGATAATTCTGTATCTGTTATTTATTTCTTCTGCCAAAAAGGTTAAAACGTTATGTACTGCCCCATGGTGATGCATTTTATAGTAAAAATCATTTCTTCAACATTTTGTGAAAGAAAGAGGAGACCTTGGTCAAAGGAACTATCGATTACATTTTTTTAGTTGATCTCTAGTCTTTTCTTAAAAAAAAAAAAAAACATTGAGAGGTTATAATCTGAAATATATGAAAAAAATGAAAGTTACACAGTTATCGCCCCTACAACGTATGGCTTTTTCTCCATTTTGAAGTCTTAAAGAAAATGGTAACAGAAAGAACACTTAATCAAGAAAGGATATATAAATTTCATTGGACAATAATGAAGGAATGCTCAGAAAGCTTGACTCTCACAGGGTATATTGAGAACAAGAAAGATTGGCAAAGACAGTGAGGAGCTTGTGTGAATAGATGAAGGAACAGGGTGGGTGGCATTAGCTTAAGTTCAATGGGAGAAAAACTGCTAAGGGCCACAAATGATAGGAAGTTGTGGAGGGCCATGTTCGTCTATGTCCTGAACTGACATGGTACATAGAGGAATATATTAGTAGAGGTATGCACACACTAAGTGCTTTCTAGTTTTATTTCTTTTTCTATTTAAGATAGACTATAAGCTACAGAGGATAGGAAGTTGGGGAGGGCCACGTCCTGAATGGACACTGTACATAAAAGAAGAATTTACCTATTTTTGGTTCTTCTATCTATGATCACTGTAATATCTGTGCACAGTGAGGGAACCTGTTTTACTGGAATACAATATGGCCATCAATTTCATTTCTCTTCATTTCTGAGAGAATTAAGGAAGCAAAATAATGGTAATGGTAAGAATAGCCATTTTAATACAGGAAATATTTGGTATTCGTTGTTTGAACAGTTTGTTATGATCAGATAGATCAGAAGGCTGCATGTTCAGGTCATATCAGGGTCACCAGTTAAAGGAGGTGCTAGGCAAGAAAGACTATTTCCAGTTTCCATTTCCCCATTCTAGGCATTAGTATATCTGTGATATACTAACACTGTAATACCATGGGCATTTTTGATTAATGGTAAGAATAGTCATTTCCATACAGGAAACACTAGACATTCATTGATAACAGTTATTATTAATTAAATTATTACAAATGAAAATATATAAATGAATGAACCATATTAAAGCAATAATTCTTAACAGTTAATAATGAAAACGAAATTAATAAAATATTGTAATTAAATTTAATTATTAATTTCTTTAATTATTTAAAAAATAATTAAAATATCATAATTACAAAATAATATTTAATATAAACAAAAAAATTAAAATAATCCTTAATAAACAATTCAAAAATATGAAATGGATAAAAATGGGAAATAAAATTTGGCTGTGTGAATGCTGAGAATAGCCGTTTCGATACAGGAAACATTCAGTATTTTTTGTTTGAACAGTTTGTTATGATCAGCTAGATCAGAACACTGTGTGTTCAGATCATATCAGGGTCACCAGTTAAAGGAGGTGCTAAGCAGGAAAGCATATTTTCAGTTTCCATTTCCCCTATTCTAGGCATTAGTATATCTGTGATATACTAACACCTTAATACCACAGACAGAACAGAATAGCTGAAAGAAAGGAATGGCAAACATGTATTGTTCTCAAACAGATTTTTTTATACTGCTAATTCACACAAGAAATTATACAGATATATATCTATACATGTCACTATTTGTCCCACACAGAAATTATAACACATGAATACAACAAGCATTATAAAAAACGGCAAAAAGCAAGAGGGTCTTACTTGTAATATTTGAGAAGGAAGAACAGGCAGGGTGGTGGTATCCTTTATGTACATGGTGAGACTATGTACCTGAGTTTTTTAACTACTGTGAACAGTCATGTCTTGCTTCTCTGCAATCTACATAGAAACTGACATGGATAGACAGGTCTTGTCTCTATGTACACCAAATAGCAATTGCTGTTCATCATTTTATAAACTGTTGTCACTCAAGAGCTGTCACGTGACTCTCATGAATTTATTTTACCCAAAGAGAAATAATCGGCCTTTGCATTCTTACAAGCTGAAATTTATAAAAACTTTTTCTTAAAAAAAGTTTTTCAGGAAAATAGATATCACAAGTCTACTATTTTCACACATTTTAATATTGATGGCAGTTTCCTTCCAAACCTTTTGTTTTTAGTCGTATGGAAAATTATCTGCTTTATTATATCATCATTTTATTTTCTAGTTAGATGTGCAACCCATTTTTGTTGTTGCCGCTGTTAGAAGTGTCCAAGTGATGTAGTTTTTGTTGTACAAAGCTTTTTTGCCATTTTGTAGTTCCAGTCCTTAGGATGGATTATCTTAGTATTTAAAGGATTTACTCATTTTAAAACATTTTTTTTAAACTATGTTTCCCCTGAGAAATTCAAATAGTGTTACATCTAATACTTTTACCATAATAAAAAGCAAAATTAATACCACACATAAATTAATAATTGACAATACTTCAGCTATTGGCAATTTTGAATGAGGCTGTTTTCATACAGGAAACGTTTGCCGAACAGTTTGTGTTACTTTTGATTTAAAAATGTTTTTATTAAAAATAGTTTTTCAGGAATTAAAACTTCTGAAGTCCACTAAATGTTCTTGCTCTTTCTAATATTGATAAGCATTTCTTTAAGAGAGAAGAAGGTGTTAGTAAAGAAAAGGAGAACTTAAATTGGAATAGAATAAGTTCTGTTTCAAAAACTCTATTTATCCCCAAGGTAAACAACATGTCTGCATTTTTGCCAGCAATCAACAAGAGACCATTTTGTGGGTTCGCAGCTATGCTGGAATACCCAGAATGTGGCTTGCCACACGCATCATTGTTGCCACAATCCATTGCTAAAGATGCTGGAAAAATGGTCAGTACCTTGTGGTTAGATGGATGGCCACTCATATCTAAGGATACTTGTCTACTCAGATGGCTAGCTAATCCCTGTTGCAGACGCCTGCTCAGGCACATATTTGTTTGTCCAACACTTGCAGAGCCCACTTGTGGTTTATATAGCAACTATGCGGAGCAGACCTTGGTTACAGTTTCTGGAAGAGAGCATGTTATCTAGCGTAATCAACAGTCTGAACAAGGCCAGCACACTCAAACCCTCAGTCACGATGACTTGTGACTTTGTGATAGCACAACCATCAACAGCTCCCAAAGGGTTCCATCTACCCAATTTCACTCAAGGCTTGAGTCAACCCACGATGTAGTTTTCAGGCACTTTCCAAAGGTGCTGCCCACTGAGATCATCTCTTCCAAACGGATAACATCAAGAAGACACCATGGTGAGATTTGGGCCCGTGTCTCACAATCAGAAAGTGAATGTTCTAACCACTCAGCCACATGCCCATCAGTTCCTTGTTGAGTATCTGACAGGCTCTATTTTTTTACAAAAGCCAAATTGGATGAAAAATGAGTATTGTTGCCATAATTGAAGGTCGTTCTCAACGGATTCTCCTCCAGTTCCTATCCTACGAACGCAGGTGATCCCCAAGGCACCATCCTTGGCCCCACTCTTTCCTTATTTTCATCAATGACCTTCCTGTCATCTGATGCCATAGATTCCCAAGTTGGCATCTATGCAGATGACACTACAATTTCTCCTGCCTCAAAAACAAATCTAATGTCGGGCGATAAAACTAACCTGGCCATGCGTTTTGAAATGGACCTCCAATCGGTTGTTAACTGGGGCAAGAATTGGCTGGTCAACTTTAACGCCTCAAAAACTAAATTACTCTCCATTAACCACCATAGAAATCCTTCCCTGCCCCCCATTAAAATGTCTGATAGTCAACTTCCTGAGAGCAACTCCTGCATCTGCTCGGTCTCACGTTGACTGCTGACCTGAGATGGAACAAATACATTGAGTCAATTGCTTCTTCCACCATGAGGAAAGTTGGCTCTCTGTGCCGCGCCAGGAAATTTTTCTCCCTGAATTGATACTTCAAATATACAAAACAACCATTCGCCCTTGCATGGAGTATTGCTGCCATATATGGGCCGGAGCACCTTCTGTTTACCTCGGAGTTCTTGACAAGATCCAGAGACAGATATGTAATCTAATTGGCCCTGATCTGGCGTCTCGTCTGCAGTCTCTCTCTCACAGACGCGACATCACCTCTCTCTGTCTTTTCTACAAATACTTCCATGGTAATTGCTCCGATGAGCTGCTTTCACTGATTCCCAGACTCCACAAATTCAAGCGCCCTACGAGGCTGGCATCGCGCTCCCACCCTTACACTATAGAAATTTTTAAATGTAGCCGTCTCTTCTAATCCAATAGCTTCATACCTCGCACCTCTCGCCAGTGGAACACCCTTCCCAATTACTGTTTCCCTGAAATCTATAATCTCCAACTATTCAAATGTAATGTCAATCGACACCTCCAGTTACCTTGATCTACCCACTATCCTTCTCCTCATCCTTTCTTCTATCACTCTTGACACTTCCCTATCATTTTAGAAATTTCTAGGGTAGATTTACCTTTTGAGAGTTCTGAGGTAATAGTTTTCTTTTTAGCATCACTTAAACTGCTTTTACGGCCCATCTTTTAACTAAATTCTTATACTTTTCTAATAATTTGGCACGCTCAAATCACCATGCTGATAACAAATATGGCGCCAGTTTGTTTACATTGCGCAGATCAATACAAAAATTTCAGTGATTGTGCAGGTCAGTGTTGCCAACATTGTGTGAAAATTTAGAGTGAATTGATTGGACAGTTTTTGAAATATTAGAAAAAAAGTTTTCTTGATAATAATTCATTATCCAAATCTATTATTTGGTCAACCTTAATTCAGGCATTAAGGTTGACCAAATAATAGATTTGGATAATGAATCATTGTGGTTATCAGTGTGAAAAGGGGAACTGACATACTGAGTTTAAATCCCATCTGAGTTCATTATGTTCCCTTTTCACACAAATACCCATGGGGGAATTATAAATTCATCTCTTATACCCACTAGGTAAGGGGTAATAGCTCGCTAGCCTTGGATGGAAACCAATCTAGGAGAAGGACAACTCTGAATTCAAAACTAGTTCCATGTAAGGGTAGCAAATCCATCCTGTAAAAACCTACTAGCTGCAAAAAACCACAGCAATTGCTCCAAGTAGCATAAGGTATTTGGTCGTCTGCTCCATTGGAGAAGTGTTATATACCTATGTACCTATGAACACTAATGGATATGTCGCAATCCTCATTAATACGTTGGGCACTATTGTGAGTGTGGGGGGGGAGGGTAATATGCTATTTAAGTAGTCCACCACTAGTAGTGGTTTACCTACTTCACACCACCACTGGCGAGTATTGTATTTTGTTGATGTTATAAAGATTACCATTTCATTTCCAACCTCCGTTTTGGTTATTCCTCATTCAGGTTACAACATTTTCTTAGTTACTATATTAAAAAATAAATAAAAAAGGAGGGTTAAAGAATACGTCATGAATATTTTTATACCTGTACTTGATAAATTTTTCTATATGACATGTCTCCCCAGGACATGGGCGATCATGGCTCTCCACAATTTCTGCCAACCATATACATGATCTCTTCTTCTATGTGTCCAGTTCCTTCAGGATGTGAGCGATCATGGCTCTCCACAATTTCTGCCAACCATATACATGATCTCTTTCTTCTTCTATGTGTCCAGTTCCTTCAGAACATGGGCGATCATGGCTCTTCACAATTTCCTATCCTCTGTAGCTCTTAGTAAATTTTGTCTTTTTGCTATCTCCTAATCATTGTTCTGCCAACCATTTACACTCATTCTTCTTCTTCTATATGTCCTGTTCCTTCAGAATGTGGGCAATCATGGCTCCCCACAATTTCCTGTTCTTTGTAACTCTTAGTAAATTTTGTCTTTTCGCTATCTCTCGAAATTCTTGTTCTGCTAGCCATTTACACAGGCCTGCTAGGTAGGTCATGCATTGTTTTCCTCTGGCTTTCTTGCCTTAAATCTGTCCTGTGAGTAACAATTTTTCCAAGCCCTCTTTCCTCATTATGTGCCCTAGAAATTTCAACTCTCTTTTTCTGATGTTAATTGTCCTTTATATTTACTCTATTTACATTGTTTGGACTATTGTCCTCATCTTTATTGTCATATTCAAGACGTTTCACTCTGGCCTTCTTCAAGTGATATTTGGAATTTCAAACTGAACCCTTTATTTAGTCTATGGAGTAGATTGTTCTAATTCCACATGCCAAGCCTCTAGATATCTCAGTTTTAGTTAATTCCCTTGTTAACTCAAGTCTCCAAGTTTTTTTGTTGTTGTTGGGCTATGTGTCCTTGAAGATGGCCAGTGTGTACAATGGCCTAAACATTGTGAATATGGCAATAAAGATGAGGACAACAGTTTGAAAAATGTAAATAGTGTAAATAGTTACAGTACCTCATCTCAAAAATATAGACAGAGTGTCTTTTTTGTTTCCATTTTCTCTAAACTTTTGTCGTTGCTCACATGTTCAGTTTATGAAAATTTTATTTATGATCCTTCTGAATGAAAACCATATTAACCTTAAATGTTTCAAGTCTCTCTTCATCTGTGAGGAGATTGTCCAGCATTCACTATCATATAGGAGAAACTCAAACTGGGACAAATTAAGAGAAGCTTTAATAACATCAGCAATCAAGATCAGCCCAAAGAAAACTAAACAAAGGAAAATGAAATGGATGATAGATGAAATTCTTGACTTGATGAAAAGGAGACAAAAAACAATGTCAAGGTATGGCACAGAATATAAGACTCTGCACAAAGAAATTAGAAACAAATGCAGGCAGGCTAAAAAGAAATGGCTCAATGAATAGTGTGCAAAAACAGAAAGAATGAGTATCACATATAAAGTAGATATGCATAAATGGCTGATCTGCATTGAAACTCCAAATCCCATATGATCACTGAAGTTAAGCAATGTTAAATCTGGTCAGTACCTAGATGGGTGACCACTTGAGAATAGCAGGTACTATAAGCTTGAATGTGCAGGTGATGTAATGGATAGTAACTCAGAAAGTCGAGTTCCAGTTTCAGTTAAGTTTATTATATTCACTTGGGGAAAGGTATGAATCCACCTCTTCTCCCCCCAGCTATGGGTTAATTAGTAAAACTTGTATTACTAAATCATTATTATCTCCAAACAAATTCTTACAATCTAAAAATATTTTCTGGCTTTAAATAACCTGCAAAAGGTTGATAAGCCATAAAAAATAGATCAATCAATCAAAGATATGCATAAAAAAATAAGAAAACTGAGAGGACAAAAGATATGCTCATGAACAGAATGCATAAAATCCAAGGACGGGACACTGATATTAAAGAAAGAAAAAGAAATGGAATGAATACATCTAAGAACTCTTCCATGACGAAAGACAAGAACTGGTAATGTACAGAAATATCAAAGGACTAGAAATGTTAAAATCTGATGTGAAATCAGCACTGGCCAAATGTATCGGGATACGTTATTTTAAATTCTTTTATGCATCTCCTACATTTTTGCAATTCATCTACATATATAATACAGCAAGGGCATTTGTAAAAAATATATTTGGCTCTGTAATGTCTGTAAGTTTGGATGTGCAGATGGTGTAATGAATAATGGCTCAGAATTGTTAATCGGAGAGCCAAGTTCCAATTCCTGTTGGGTTCATTACATTCACTTATATGCAAATTAATCCACCTCTTCTCCACCAGCTATGGGTCAATTAGTAAGACTTGTGAACTGGGTGCAAATCCGTGACGACTAACAAACTTCCTGAACAAACACACTCTTGGTGCAATTTGGTGTAAAACCGGAAAACATGATAAGGTTTTTTCAATTTATTCAATAATCTCTTCCTGTGAATATATTTTATCCTTTATTTACGATTCTTCTTCAATGTGAATAAAAGATTTTTTTTGTTCATTGAGTGATACAATGTTTGATTTTTATTTAAAAATTTTTCTGCCCTCCTTTATTTGCATGCAGAAAAAATTTTTTTTTCGTAGTTTTACTATTGACCACTGTGAATTTATTGCTTCTGGGGCAGCCATGTTTTTTCCAGTCAAAAAAATAAACCTTGCATGCAGAACATATATGCTGCCGTTTGCAATCAGGTCGGTGATTATTTTCGTTCCAATTTTCACTATCACTAAAATCATTATCTCCAAAAATTAAAAAAAAAGAAAATTGCATAAGAAATATTTACATTTCAGAATTAAATAACCCATAGAGGTATTGATATGCCACTAAACAACGAACAACCAACCAATGTAATGTCTGTAACTTTTTGCTGTACTAATTATCTCTGTTGCCCTAGAAATGAAAGGTGGTGCTGTAAATCAACTTTTACTGTTTCATGTACTTGTTGGGATTCTTTCTGTTCAACATGGCACAAAATAAGCCTCAGTAAGACTTTGGTCCATCAAGCCCAGGTATTCTGTTCAATGCCAGAAATAAATTCAGAGTTTGGGGTGAAAATGGCTCCCATCTTATTGCAGACATTCTGCTACTACTGCACGAAATGTGTATTGTTTTACTCCCCCTTTGTTTGTCCTTTTTTTTTTTTTAAAAACTTCTTAGATTAAAAACCATTTTTCAAATTTTGCCCACTTCCTGTCTATCACTGGCACAACAAAGCGTGGACACAAGCATGCAGTTCATATTTTTCTCATTCTCCTAAATGTTACCACCCCTCCAATGATAGCATTGCCATTTTACCCTTTTGGCTTTTAATAAATATGCTGATGAACAGGACTTTGCATAATGATAAAAAGAATTTTAGAAAATAAGTATCTTGTTGAAAATGTACAGAAATTGTTCAGAGGTCAAAGAACTTTTATTTAAAAATTACTTTTCTCAGTTCATTGGACGTGTAATCGGCTAATAATGGAAACATCATTTGATAAATATTCTATCAGATTTAGCCGCACTTGTATCATCAATTTGATTTTCACTGGGTCCTCCACAATTATGGCCTTATGCCAGCATACAATAAGCTAGGTAAACAAGAGTTGAATATTCACCCCCCTCCCCACCAGTGCTGTAAATGACTGGTTAACAAGCCAGTCTTGCAAACAATTTGGTTGTGTATTGTATCATATTCCACAACTGTAGTCTTGTCCAAAAACAGTACAAAACAGGTATTGTTTTGTCCCTTTTTTAGTTTAGGTACTTTTTAGATGAGTCACAGTTTTTGACCACTTCCTGTCTAGACCTTAGTTATCACTGGCACTGTGAAAGCATGAGATCAAATTTTTCTCATCCTACTAAATCTTACCCGCAACAATAGCATTTCCAGTATGTACCTCCCTTTAAAACTTTTTCTCTCCATATGTTATTATTTCAATATTTGTTTTATGTAGGTACCTCCAATAATTTGCTAAAAAACAGTATAGCTTAATGATAAAAGGCTCCAAACTTAATAAAAACAAAGTTTTATTGTCAAAATGTTTGTTATTATTAAGAGGAAAAAACAAAATATTTTTTTAACTATTTTTAAATATTTTCCTCCTTTCAAAAACGGTCTAAATTTGGGTCAAAAATTTTTTTTTTTCTTTTTTTTTCATCAAATGTGTAAGACTTGTGGTAATGGACATTTTTGTGTAGCCATTTCTGACAAAATGACACATTAAATTGGAAGTTCTTGCAAAAATCAAATAATTGTCAGATTTGAATAAAACTTTCAGGACTTATTCAAAAATGAATGAATTTATTTTTTAAATTTTTATTTTTAGAAAATCTTAGTAAAAAAAATTTTTTTTTTTTTTTTTTAACATCTGTTAACACATAAGTTAATTTCATGAAATTTTCTAGAATTTCAAATCGTTTAAAAATCATTTTATATTACTTATACTCAGGACTCCTTGGGGAATGTAAACCATCAATTTTTTTTCCCCCACTATCACCAACTTTTTAAAAATCTCCTCCAAATCGTAAAATAAAAACTACAATAATGTAGCCATCTTTTATTTATTTTACAACTGTATCTCTCCATGTAGAATCCTTTTCAACACATGTTCACTGTTAGTGTTTACACACTATTCTTAAATTGTAACTTTCTTCATTTCTGAGAACTTACACAGCAACATTGTATAATGTATATTCCTGTAGCAAGCTATTTTTTCTTTATCCATTAAGATCCTCAGTTTTACTTCTGTTTAATTTTGTCTTCCTTGTTACATTTCTTCCCTTGCCTTATTATAGTTTTATTTTAATTTTCAAGTTTTACTATTTTTTTTTTCACCTTTAATAAATTTGCTGATGAACAGGACTTTGTCTTCAGAGTTTTAATTGGCCAAGGCAGGTTGATTTTGGAACCGAGGTATTGCACTCAATTTGAAAGTTGGGGTTTGACATGATAAATAACGACACAATATATTTTTTTTTCCAAATCTTTATCGTTTTTTGAGGAAACCAGTTTAAAGACTAAGTTCAGGTTCAAAATCATAGCATTGCAGTTTCATTCCAGTGATCAATGAAAACCTTCTAGCACAACCTTATAACATTTATAATTTGCTCAAGCTTTACAAATTACATATAGACAAGATGCATGGCACATTATTACTAATTCATTGTGACATAAAATAAGACCTTCATTTACTTCATAGGGAAATTATACTGGACAATTTAACTATATTATGATGTAATATGTTATACAATGCAATAGTTTTAGTGTGATTTTCAATAAACAATGCAAATTTAAAACATTTTGTCTTATAATTTGTGCCCAGCAGTATTATGGTGTTATATACACTTTTATCTACTTTTTATTTTATTATGATCTAACAAATGTAAGATTTTATTTATTGAGTTGCCATTTTGTAATATTTTACAAATTTTTTTTTTTTTTTTAGTTTTATTTATCAAATACAGTACAAAAAATTGCATATTGTTTGCTTATGGTGATTCATAATTAGAAATCTAGTTTGAATATATTTTCTATTCAATATACCTAATACAAAATATACTTTGTAAGCAAAAGTCAGTTTGTAAGCAAAAATCCGAGAAAATTAGGTATTTCTGTACATTTTGTCAGACGATCTTTAAAACTAAATGCTCAAAAATTGATAAAAGTTATGAATCTAATTATTGGTGTCAGTACTTATCACATCAAGCCCCAGCTTTCACACCAAGTGCAATGTCGATTTTCTTTAAAAAAAAAAAAAAAGTGAATAATCAAACTGCTGCAGCGTACCCAGGAGGCAGAACAGGATATTCGATCTTTGCATTGCAACACTAACTGGATGATAAAGATTTTAACATCAGCTTACTCCCTATATACTCTTTTAGCTTACTCTCTATATATGCTAGTGGCTTACTCTCTATATACGCTTGTGGCTTACTCCCTATATACACTTGTAAAAATTTCTTTGTCACTATATAAGTAATCAGGAGAGGGTAAGGTTTTATAATGGTGATTTGTAAAATTCATTTGTTGCTCATATTTCTTCCTTAGTCACATTATCTTAACAAATATGAGAGACGTGTACTTTGATTGCACCAGCCATGATGTTTTTAGGTCTAGGTATAACTACCCTATCTGAAGTGAATACTAGATAATTTCACTAGAAAATGAAGAAAAAGCTTGATGTAACGGAGATGTAGTTCTACTAATGAATGTTGACAATATCACAGACAAAGCATGCAACAACTAGAGGGACGTAATCTTAGGAAGTTCTTAGGAGAACAGGAACTGTAAATAAACTTTCAGGTAGCCATCTTTCATGCGTTTATTTTACTGTTGCATCTCTCTATACAGATCACCTTTCACTACGTGTCTGCCATTTACACACTGTTCCAAAATTGTAACTATCTTTCTTTCTGACATTGTCCTGGATAAGACATTAAACTACATCTGCGTCCTGGGTAAGACGTTAAACTACGTCCAGCAACAAAGCCTCTGATCAGGAGGTTTTGAAGAGCGTGGAACCACCTCTTAATTGCTGGTGTTCCCAGGTCCACCCTGACCCGGAATGGTAGCACCTGTTAG